TGCCATGGGATCCCTGGCCAGGGATCGAACTCATGGGGATCAAACTCATGCAGTAATGACTGGCAATAGCTTGATAGCTCTGAGACTTTAACCCCTGTGCCACCAGGGAGGCCCCCCAGATAAATCTTTTTTTTTTTTTTAATTTTTCTTTTTTTTTTTAAACACTAGGCCAGGCAATCCCATCATTTATTTATTTATTTATTTACACAAGTACTGGGTACAGTCAGAAGCGCAGGAGGGTGAGAGAATTCACCAGAGCCAGAGCGGGGAGCAGAACAGGCAGAAGGGCAGAAGTACACTGCTGAGGGGAACAGTGGGCGGCAGGAGAGGTCGCCCCAGATAAATCTTTACAAATATTTTCTTTTGCATATCTCCAAATTGCCTCCCAGAAATTTTGAGTGTTAATCTTCCATCAGTTGAATGAGATTTTTCTACTTTGTAGATTTAAACATTTTACTAATTTGATGTGAAATATGCTGTCTTTTAAATTTATTGACTAGAAAAGCTTCATGACCTGTAAGAACATTCTTCTATTAGTGTATTTTACTACTCTTTTAACTTTTATGGTGACTGTTTTTAACAAACTAAAAATTTTTATCAAGGATCTATACATACATCTTTTCTCCCTTCTTGATTATATCCATTGTTTTTGTTCAGAATGCACCTCACCATCCATTTTTTAACCTAAACTTTTTAAGATTTTTAAAATAATACTGAAACCACCTGGATTTCATTTTGATGTGAGAGGAACATTTTTTCCCCACATATAGTCATTGCCTGCTTCACTTCCTTCCCTGTTAATTTGTGGTGCTAATTTTATCATACATTAATTCTTTTATGCTAAGATCTGTTTCTGGCAAAGTCCAAGTTTCAAAAGCCTTTTCTTACAGTATTTTGAATAGAATTATTTGAATACATTAGTTCAGAAAAAAAAAATTGACTTCTTAGTATGTACATTAAGGAGCAGAATGTCTATTTTTTAGCTTTCTTCTGGTCACTATTTTCATTTAGATTTCATTTTTTCTGTTGCTGCTCTGACTGTAACTCTCTCCTCCCTGACTCTATTCTTGTTATAAAGGAATAGCATTTGTTTTTTAATCTGGCTACCTTACTAAAGTTGGATAAGGGGGAAGGATTTAACTGAGCGATTATAGATTTCATGTCCTGACAAAGACACATCTTGGGTCAGTCATAAGTACCCCTATCACTGACACTTGTGTGATTTTAACTTAATTGTCTGGTTATTTCACCTGTAAGTAGGGAATTTTTAGGATATTATAGATCTATATACCTGCTAATAAGTGTAGGTCTCTTATTCTTTTACTAAAAAGTCTGGGGGCCAGATTCACTTTGGAAAGCAAAGTATTTTGGATTTTAAAAAGTCAGTATGGTAATATAGAACTCTTCTGCTAGAGTCTATCATGGTACCCTGTAAACATATTTAACATTTCTGAGATTAGAGAGATAAGTGAGATAAATAGTATAAATGATTTCACAATTCAGTCCAAACTTTGAAGCCAAGTTACTTTTAAGAGCTCTCTGAATTTTGAAACTGTGGAATGATTAGAGGCCTGAACTGAAAACTTAAACTTTTTCAAGTATATTATATGTAAGACATCATCTCCCTCAGTAAAGGTTAATATTTTATTAGGTGATTTGCCTATTAATTCCCAGGTGAACAACACAAGCAAGTTCTAATATAGTTATTTTCCAATAACTCTTAATTTACCTCCTATAATATTAGCTGGACTTTCGGGGAATACAAAATAAATGGCTTAATAGTCATTCAGGAATCATCCTCAATTCCAATGGCTGTTTACTGCTGATTCACCATTGTGATATTAGCTGCTAGATTTTTTTCTTCTTGTATTTGGAAATACAGTACAGCCAGAACATATTCACCTTAGCATTTCTCTTTAAGGGAGATCCTAAAGATCCTTAATGTAATAATTTACAGCACAAATCTGAATCCTGGATTTGTGGGCCACCAAAGGAGCAGAGTACCTGGTTTGTTGACTTATAACCTAACTGGTAGAAAGCTAAATGGGTACCCAGAGGAGGGAAACCAGATGTCTACCCAACCTGTTCCACATTCATGAATGCTCTAACATATCCATCTGATTATCACTATTGAACTATTTTATTTCTTACCAGGTTTTATCAAAATGTCCTTTGGACATTTAAAAATTTATGATTTTTTTCTTATCATTATACAGACTTAAAAAAACAGAACTAGTTAATATTCACATACTTAGTATAAAACAGCACTTTAATCACTTAAAAACTATTTTATACTTAATCTTTAATTCATCTAGATTTTTCACTATAATTTTTTTTTAAAGGAAGGATACTCTTTTTTTTTTTTTGTAAGATTTATTTGTTTGTTTATTTATTTATTTATACAAGCACTGGGTACAGTCAGAAGCGTGGGAGGGTGAGAGAATTCACCAGAGCCAGAGCGGGGATCAGAGCAGGCAGAGGGGAGCAGCGGGTGGCAGGAGAGGTCTGCGCACCATGTGGGACCCTCCTCCAGTGGCCGGGGAGCAGCTGGGGATTGAACCGGCGCTGCAGAGACTGCGGGCAGCTTCGCAACCCAGCGCTCAACCGCTGCACCACCGGGGAGGCCCGATTTTTCACTATAATTAATTAGAGAATTTTCATTCTCTATCACTAAGAGGTTATTTCTCTGCACAGAAAATCTGAGCTATTTGCTAGTCTCTATGATTTCAGAAGGGTGAAGTTAGTCAAGGGCCCAAGGGTATAGAAGTTCAGTCTGTTCAGGGGAGTAGGCTCTTCTGCAAAGCCTCCACTTTCAAAATGATGGTAGCACCTTTAGAGAGTCTAATGGATTTACATGGGTAATCCCAGAGCAGTAGTCCCTGAACTGGAAGAACCCTGCTTCCCTTTTAGGAAACTTTACAACTCATGACTCAGCTCTGAAGAGGATGTGGTAGGTGAACTTTCCTGCTTCTAGTGATCACAGGTCACACAGCCTCCCCTTTTGTGAGCCTGGTAGCTTACAACTGACTCCAGGGATTGGTATTAGACCCCAGCTATACTCACCTGCATGAATAATGCCAACAGCAACAGTCTCACTCATCGTAAATGAGGACATAAAATGTTATTAGCCTTAGATGTTCTACGACCTTTGGATCACCTATAACAATTAGTGGTTCGGATCATCAGGAAATCATTCTGGAAATTTAAAAAACTTAATTCTATACATTTAAAAAATTATTCTAAATATATACTTTGTTCTTTTTTTCCCTTTAACAATGCTTATGGTGGCATCTCTAGATCAATTCCTTATAATTTGCTTTAAGTAATTAATCTTAAGGCAACACAGAAAATACACATTTTGTAACTTTTCTAGTTCTATTTTCCAAAGGTAATTATAATTTCTACTCTTAGGAAATATTGGGTCTTACTGAGTATAGATCAAATGTACATGTCAAAACTACTAATCTTTTTTACTATAATCTATACCTCTAATGGAACTTGGGAGTCCAGATTCAGGAATATCCCATTTGAGTGAATGAGGAAATACAAAGGCCTTGCCTCACATGCCAACTTACAGTCAGAGCAAGTTTTGAAATCAGAATTGCTATTAATTAATTATGTCCTATATCTACAGTTTAAATCTCTGGTAATTAATAAATTCTTTAAAACTAAGAAATTTGAATCTCAACAAAGTGAAAAAAGCTACAATGTGAAGATGTGAACATTTAATAGTCTGCATGTACTAAAAGCTTACCACTTAAAACTGGAGGTAAAAAAAGACCGATGTGATTATTTTCCAAAAGCACAGTTTTTATTTATACAGAGTCCTAACCACTTCAGCAGCAGGAGGAATGGGAGAGGTTCCTTTTTCAATTCAGGGGCCTCCATAATGTTGATCTGTTGTTACCAAACACACAGGCAAGTGGCGTCATGAATTTGGTAAGCTAACTACAATGTTTAGTCTCTCTCTGCTAGAGCAACAAGGTGAGCGTCAATCTCTGCTTCTGTAAGAATCCTAGAAGGCAAAGGGAAAAAACCCCACAACTATTTATTTTGAAAACTTTTTATTATGCAGAATCCCAAACACAAGCAAAATAACGAATTCCCTTTTATTCAACTTCAACAATGACCAATTGGTAGCCAATCCTCCATAAATCTACATAAGTCTCTCTTCCCTTCAGATAATTTTGAAGGAATTTCCAGACTTAATCCATAATGTAAAAATGTTTATTTTTTTGACATCAGATCTAGAAGTAGGTCTTTTGAAAAGAAAAATATATATTAAAAAATAAATATATTATATTTAAATAATATAAAGCTAAAGTGTATTTTATATTAGTTCCTATGTCAAAATGCCCTTTTACCCAGTGTTAATCAACATGAGAAGGCATGTTGATTACATGAATTTTTTCTAAATGATGTTGGCCCCAAAGAAATCAATTATTTGGCAACCTTTAGTGTGACCTCTTACTGCTGATCTTCCTAAGTGAAATTTGTCAAAGTGACATTATAAATTGGTGACGGTGCACGGGTGCCTTGGGGAAGGAAATTCTATGCGGACTCAACCTGAAGGGATGGGAGGAGGAAAATATTGTTTTAAAAAAAAAATTTAAAAAAAAAAAATGCAAATTGGGGCAATGATAGTTGTTGGTATTTATGCAATATGTTTACATATATCCACTATCACAGGATTTATGAATGCTTTACAAGGACTTTTTGAAGACATGAGATCTTTGGTTTCTTATCTATTTAACTAATAGAAATAAAAATTTAATATTTTACAGAAGGATCTCAGAACAGAAAACAAAAACAAATTACAGAACCGTTAGAGATTTGTACATTTCTCCTGCTAGAACTTTTCTGCTTAAAAAAACAAAAACCTTTTCCTATAGAAAAAAAAAAATCACAGAAAATAAACTTTTTTTTTTAAATGACAGTGAGTTAGTTATAAACACTTTACATCAAATTCCCCAACACACAGTATCTCTATTCCCAAAGTCCTGTGTGTGGGAATTTGGAGGCTGGCCAGTGGTGGCATTGTCCAAAGGGACAACACTAGACCAGTACTATGATCCCAACTTATTCTTTGGCCACATGATATTTGTGAGGACAGCAAGATCTGAATGCAAAACACAGACAGACACTGCTATCAGACACAGATGGAAACTATGCACACATCACAGTAGCCATTTGTTTCTTTTTTTAAATCCTAAGATTTTAAAAATCTCATGTTCATATTACTTACCTGAAGGCAACAAAAATAACTTGGGGAAAAAAAGCATACTAACAAAACTCTCCAAGGTCTGGTTAAACTTAGTTTTCCATATAAGTGTTAAAATGCCTTCCAGGAGTCCTTGAATCTGTGGATTTAACTGAAGTATCTTTCACTAGTCACAAGAGCATCCAGGTCCCTGGTAAATAAACCATAGGGTTGCTGGAAGGATTAAGTGAGCTCCTATGTGTTAAGCATGTAAGGCTGTTTTGTGGAGTTACTGAGTAAGAACAGAGAAACATCTAGCATCTGCAATTCAATTAGCTATATTCAAAATTTGGGGTTTCCAAAGATCTCCAAATAGGATCTGATGTGTATCAGTACATTTCATATTGCTCTTCATGCTCCACTTGAATAACCAAAGTTTCATCTGAAAACTTAAAAACTACATATTCTGGGACAACTTCCAGAATACTATTTCCACTGATCTTAAACTAAAAGAAAACACTTCTGCTTATTTTATTCCATACCACACAGAAAATTATTTATATCATCCCTAGCAGTGAGATATAAAATCATTCTGAAATAAGAAAAACAGTTGTGTTTGTATTAAAGAGACATCCAGTATATTTTAAAACTGATCTCTCAGGGACTAAAGGAAAAAAAATGTAATCATAGGTACCCAAAAAAAAAAAAAAAAAAAAAAAAAGTTTTCCCCAAGTTGTAGGACAAATGGATCCAATACTCCTTATGTGTAGGCTGGAATTTAACACATGGAATACTTAAGTACCCAGCCAACATATAACTCACCTGAATTTAGGATTTTCAACTGTAACTACTCCAACTTCTATTTCTGAAGGTTTGAAATCAATTGACAGAACAGTAGACAGGCATGTAATCGCAGTCTGAAAAAAGTACCAACATTAAAATATAGAATTTTTCAGAGATCCAAGATTATTCAAATCATAAGTTAACTACCAGTCAGTCATTTTTTGCTCCATTTTTCAGAGGGTATTACTACAGCATATTAAATTAACAAAATATTGATACCAAATTGAGCCAAAAGCTAAATGGGGCATCAATAGGATGATTTACACAACAGCTTATTTGACTGAACACCACTATATGCTAAGCACTATGCTCACAACTTGGGTAAGATGTCAGAAGGGTAGAGATGAATGATAGTCCGATTCCTTCAAGAAACTTAAACTAAAACAATTTAAGAATGTTTTCAGTGGTTGTGCACCTGATGTGATAACAATGAACTGAAATTAAAAAAGAAAAACCTATAAGGAACATTTACACAGGACATGATTCACTCCCAGATGAGAGCTAGCTTTATATCTCCTGTTAGTATAAGTAATACTGCTAACCAGTGTTACTTAAATTACCTGGATGGTAATTTTCCCTTTGTTATTTGTCAGGAGAATGCTGTTAGAATTTAGAATGCTTTTATCCCAGACTCTCATTTCCAAAACCTACTAGAATTTTTCTTAATTTCTTGGCAGTATAAAAGAAGCTTCTTTAATCTGAAGTTACAAAAATATCTGTGTAAGAATTTTAGCTTGTTCTGTCAACTTAAAACTTCCCAATCATTATGAATAATCCCTTTAAGAACCTTGCATAAACCAGTTGTACTTTTGCATCCCAGACATAATTTCTCTGCCAAGTCATCATGTGAACATATTCTTTAACAAGAAGCTATTTGCTTCCCTGAGAATTTGGTGTAAGGTTGTTTTTCCTTTAAGATCAGAAGCGCAACATTAAAATAACTTAACCCTTTCACTTCCGCTACCAGGAAGTTTAAGCCTAATTTGAATCATGACCATGTAGGTTGGTCTTTGGGCTTGGTCTTGATTCCCATTTTTATTTTCCCACTTTATGTGTTCTGCTGAAACCCATTTCAGAGACATTACAAAATGAGAGAGGGAATTAAGTGAATAAAAGCAGTCCTTGTTGTTCTCCCATTTTAGCTGAATGATACCAGTTTTACTATTAAACTAGCAAACTTGGTTCTCATTATAAACCAAAGGAAATGGTTTTTTTTTTTTTTGGTCAATTTTGCAAAGATTCTTGATTTTCTATATTGTCCCTCTCCCCCCCAAGTCAGCTCATTTTGTCTAACTTACTTCCACTGTCTGTTCAAATGTCCAATCAAATTTCTTCTTCACTTTTTTTTCAAGGAAGCTGGTTGACTCAGTTTGTTTAACTCCTGCTGCAGTGGCTTTAAACCCACAGTAGTAACCTGCAGGATCACACTTGTACACCTGAGGGCCTTGTTCTTCATCTATGCCAATTAAAATCATACCTAAAAAGAAAGACTCTATTTGAATATATTATATCTTTAAGCAAGAAATTTCCTTTAAGTGTTGCCATATAGTTAATCATTACTTTGGCCATCAATTTTAGCATGTGTTTCATTTTGGGGGGGGGGGGAAACAAACTGATAAACAGGTAATCATCACAAATATATTTTAGGTAACAGATTTGTATTTCATGAAAGATTTGTCACAAATTTTTAAATTTAAATTATCACATTTTACAAACAATTTTCTGAGATCCTTGCTATTGCCCAAGGCATATTTCTTTGAATACTAATCCCTCAAGATGTTACCCTGTTTGAACAGTATGCTTCATATATTTCCTTTTAGAGAAAATGACATGTAATAGGTTATTAAATGTTCTATTGTTGGCTGACCTATTTTAAGTCTGCAATTCTTAAAATTTATTTGACCAAGAATATTTTTCTTTTTTTTTTTAATTTAAGAACTACCTATTAAGATTCCAGGGAACTAAAAGCCAATGGAGTATACTAGGGAACGCTGGTGCAAAGTGAAATATACCTCAGGGTACTCGCTTACCTTTTCACTGCCCATCTTTGTTACTGTTGGTATATAAAACCTTAGAAGTCTGTGTCTACCAAGTTTTGAATTCTGTTTATGTAACTATTAGATCTAATTATGTTATCATATTAACTTGCAATTAAACACCACTATCAAACTTTTTACTCAATAGAGCTGGTAACAAATATTTAAACAATGCCTTAATTCCTGCTTTCCTATATTGTAGATTTGAACCTATTTTATAGTATCCTATAAGTCAGTATTAACCAAATGTTTTATTTGCATTTATAGATGGTACACAGAATCTACCAATGAGGAATGTGCAACTTTATTTTACTGATAAACACTATGACAATGATCAGATAGGTCATATCATTATTTGGATATTCTGTCACCCTGTAATTTTCTTTACATTTTATACTTGATATGTACAAAGCACATTAGCAACACAGGAGATAGCCATTTACTGCTTGGAGAAAACAAGAAACGCTTCTTTATTTCAGGGTCTTGCAAGATAAGCAGGGTTTCCTAAGTGATAAAGACATGAAGGGCAATCAAGCAAAAAGAAGAACATGCATAAAGGCATCAAGATATGAAAGAGCAATGTACACCAGGGATGACAAAAAGATTCTTGCAGTACAGGGGCTTCAAGGGAGTAAAGCAGTACAAGAAAGAAGCTACTTGGGAATAGCCTAACACATCACACTATGGAGTTTGGAATTTAATTTATAGACTGAAGGGAAGAACAATCAATCTGATTTTAGAATGATATGCAATAAATATGGAAGATGAAACTAGGGTAATGAGAAAGGAGAGGAGTCAGGTAAGCTAGGTGGTAAAGGCAATAGAAGATAAAGCGAGAGAAAAGGTGGAAGAAACATTCGGAAGTAAAGCTTAAGGACTAAATGGAAGACCAGGGAAGGGGAAGGCAGATGGGGGAGGAAAAGAGAAGTTGAAGATGAAAGCAGTAAAATAGCAAGGATTGCAAATTTGAAGCATCTGAGGGACATAGAAGAGACCGGACTAATGCTAACGTGATGGTGGATTGGTATACAGGTAGTAAATGAAGCCATGCCAGTAGGGGAGGTCACCCAGATATAAGAAAGAGGGCAAGAAAGATCAAGAAGGGAGCCCTGCGGAGCAACATCAGAGGGCCAGCAAAAAAGGATGAGCTAAGAAAACTGAGAAGAGAGTATCATTGGAGCAATCAAAGGAGAAGTAATTTTTAAGTGAGAGGTTAAACGGGTCAGATGCTAAAGAGAAATCATTCCACTGACTGTTAAATCTCAGAAATGAACGACAATGTCAGAAAATACATTTATTTTACTGAATTTTTTAGGCTAATATATATATATAATCTAAAACCAGCAAATCTTCTCTCTCCCCCCATAAAAAGTTTACAAAAAAATAATTTAATAAAAAGTCTAACAGCTTCTAAAGTGTAAAGATAATGCCTAAAATACCATCATAAAACCTATTCTTCATCTCTGATTTAGATTTCCTCACTTTATATAAACTTCCAAACCACCTTTCAGAACCCAAGTGTTACTGAAATAACTGCCTTAATATATTCTCTAAAAATAGTAATAATTTATCAATTATTTGGGATACTTCTTAGCATACTTACAACAGCCAAGAGGCCTCATTTCAGCATTCTGTGTGTAGACCTGAGAAATATCAGCAATTCTTTTACACAGCATGTCCACGGGAATCTCATAGCCATACTTGTATTTCCAATTTGCTGCCTCATAGCGTGCCCTCTGTACCTGGGATCTGCTGTCAGCTTTGAGCATAAAAAAAGTTACATCTTTAGAAGAAAAGAATGAACCTCAAAGTCAAGACAATTTTCCCACCATATATATATCTTAAGGAAAGAAATGGTCCACTATGTTTTTTTTCCCCTCCCACCAACGAATAGCAAATGAGCAACGAGTGTGTGATAAAAAGGAAAACTTTTTAAAATATGGGGCTCTATACATCCTTTTTGTTATTTTTTCCCCTGGTTTTTTTGGGTAGGCTTGAATATCCCTGATTTCAGAAAATAAAAATCCAAAATAATTTTGTATTCTCACATCTAACCAATGCTACTATTACTAGAATTGATACACACTGACTTAACACCCTTTAAACTATTAACTATACTTAGAATAATATAAATCTCTCTGAGATGTAGTCTCAATCTAGTTTCCTTAACTAGCATAAAGTTCTAATTCTATTATATTTATGATTTCATAAAAGTTCACGCTAAAGATACTCATGTGATCCTTGGGACACTGCAAATCTACTCATGTTACTTTAAAATCAGACACTAAAGAGAGTTTTAAAATTAATTCAAAACTAAAAAAAAAAAAAAATTCATTCAAAACTCAAAATATAATTGAAAGAAAATAAGAAATCTAAGCAAACAACTAGCTGATTACCTGTCATTCCTGTCATGACACAGCCAATGTTTTCAGTTATCTTGAATAAGTGGGTCACTGTGCTGGAATCCAGTAATTTGTCCTAATGAGCAAAGTAAATCAAGATAATACAAAAGAGATTTCTATAGTTATAAAAAATACTGTGTACTAAAACAATCAGTTATATAGTAAATACATTTTATAGTTAAAATAAATACTAAAGAGGGGGGCAAGAAGACTTTTTCTTTAAGTATATGCTAGACCTAAACTCACATAAGCTTATTTCAAGGTCCCTGAAGACAAAAGATCTAGAAATCCCAACAAGCTTATAATCATACTACAATGTTCAATAAGATAATTTGACCTACTCAGCTAAAATGCTTATATTTAATAAAGTCTTTTGAAATGAATGACTGATAGGAAAGCAGAGTCAAAATAAGATTGTTAATGTGTATAGGCTGTAATAGACCTTTGTACAAACACACAAAAAATTCTTGCATTATATCCTATAAGAACTGGCTATTAAGCTATTACTTACAGGTACTTTCTTCTGTGTGACAATTACTGCACAGTCTTTCCCTCTGACAGCTACTGATGTAAGGCCACCCTGGTTAATAGCCTTAAAAGCATATTCTGCAAAACAGAATAGTTTTACACTATCAAATTCATGCAATGGAATAAGCAGTCATTAAAAATAATAAGGTAGAGCCATTGTGAACTAAGGAATATGGTCCAAGTTATCCGAAGTCCAAACCAACTCTGTTTCTTTCCATTTTAATTTTACTGTAATTATTTTCATCAGGTTCAAGTAACAAATTTCCAATAAAGTTTAGCTTTTTCATTGTATCAAGTTTCTACTAATTATATTGTAATTTTGAAAGTATATTTGTCTTGCGGTCATTATTTCTATCAAATCTGATTTTCCTGAGCCACCTTTAGTTGTTCTAAATTTTCTCAAGATTTACTATTTCTGTTAACTTTTGGAAAATTATTCTTCACAACCTAACATTCATAAGTGTCCAGGTTACAATCTAGAATTACTCTACAAAGAAAGAAAATGAAAGTTCAAAACCCAAAACAGGAAAATATGATCCATTCTCAAGAGACCAACCCTGAAACGACCCTATTTATATTAGCAGTTATTAAAACCATGTTCAGTGATATAATGAAAAATATTCTTGAGGGCCCCCCTGGTGGCACAAGAGGTTAACACACAGCACTGGGAAGTGAACTGCAGCCTCTGTAGCATGAGTTCGATTCCCAGTTAGCTAGGGAGCTACCCACATGGCGCAGCAGACCTCTCCTGGCTTGCCGCTGCTCTCTTCAGCAGTGTATTTCAGTCAGTTTGCCTGTTCTGTTCCCCACTGTTTCTGGTTGAATACTTTCACCCTGCCCCCCAGTGGTTTTATCATAGTGGTTCTTATCAGGCTGATATATGTAGTTGCTATCATCCACTATTTTAAGATCTACTTCTAAATGTATAAACCAAACTATCAACCAACTATTTTATCTTTCATGGCAAAATTACCTTACAGGTATGTGGCAAAAATGTTTGGAATGAAAATGCTGTAGTAAAGCATAAGGCAAACAGACCAGAAATGGGAAAAATACAAAGAACCAGTTAGGCTCATTAAAGTATTTGGTTTCAAATTCCTGAAACCAAAAATAAAGGTATTTTTGAAAACAGAGAATAATGATTTGAATGTCCATTTGACTTCACCTGAAGGTAGTAGATCATCCTTAAAGAGTGGAAAAATTAGGGGGCTCCCTGGTGGCACAAGGGGTTAAGTCTCAGCATTTAATCAAGCTATCAGCAGCCACTGCAGCACAAGTTTGATCCCCAGCCAGGGAGCTAGCCCACATGGCACAGCAGACCTTTCCAGTCTCTCCAACTGCTCCCCTCAGCAGTGTATTTCAGTATGATCTGCCCGTTCTGCTCCCCACACTGTCTGGTGAATCCTCTCACCTTCCCCCCAACCCTGCACCTCTGACCTACACCCCAGTTCTTATATGCATAAATAAAAAAAACTATCACCATAAAGAATATACTTTGTAGTAAGTTTCCAGAGAAGTGGAAACTGCCAAAGAAAAGAAGCTAGAGAGAGACAATCTAAATAGAGTATCTTTGAAAGAAAACATTTGTAGGGTAAAAAGTAATATTACAGTTTATAGCAAAGGTGAGCATGAATGTTAATTAAGAAAAATAGTTTATGGGTGGCATTTAAAAGACATTTGTTTTTTAAAGTCAAATGTAAATGTCAGCAACAGTAAACACATCATTTCCATCTTTAAAGATTTTGTTTTTCTGGATAAGGATAATGTTAAATGGGAGAAATTATAATGAATTTTCCCCAACCCCAAACTTCCAACTTCTTAAACTGTAACAAATGCACAGTAAATATGTTTTAGGTTAAACTACATGAATCAGCATTTTTTTAAAGATTTATTTATTTATGCATACAAGAGCTGGGGTATAGGTCAGAGATGTGGAAGGGGTGAGAGGATTCACCAGAGGCAGAGTAGGGACCAGAACAGGCAGACTGACTGAAATACACTGCTGAGGGGAGCAGCGGGCGAGTCAGGAGAGGTCTGCTTTGCTATGTGGGTTGCTCCCTGGCTGGCCGGGGATGGAACTCTGGAACTCGTGCTGCAGAGGCTGCGGATTGCTTCACAAAGCAGTGTTTAATCCCTTGGGCCACCAGGGAGGCCCCCTGAATCAGCATTTTTATAGCTAAAGATTAGCGTCACAGCAGCAGTTTCATATGGTGTAGTCTAACAAAATGGCTAATAAACAGTTGTTTTGGACATAGAGACTTATTTTCCACACTAATCCTTACACACTTTACTTCCTTCCCTACAATTTTCCAATCCTTTCCCAACTGTTCTGGGATTCATTTGTATAAAAAAAAAAAAAAAAAAAAGGGCTAGATAGAAAAGGTACTGTGGCTAAATTTTCAGGGAAAGAGCTCACAATGCTAGACAATGGCTCACAGTATTAGCAGCTCAGTGTGATGGTGAAACAGTGGATACATACAACCTTTATGGACTTATCAGCATTGCCAAACATGTACAGGTCTTTCAATAATAGCAATGTAACCCTAGATTTTCCCACCCAGCATTTTAATGGGGTAGAAAAATG